CTACATTCTAATGGAAGGGAAGGGAAGACACAGACAATAAACAATAATCATAACATTGAGTACATTATATAGTACATTGCACTGTATTAAGAGATAATGGGGGAAAATAGAGCTGGGTAAAAGGGATTAGGGGCGCTGAGATTGAAGGGAAAGTAGTTTACAGTATTAAATATGCTAGTCTGGGAAGGCTTCATTAGGAAGGTAAGATTTTAGCAAAGATTTGAAGGAGAGGAGTTAGCACAATGATTACTTGAGAAAGACCGTTTCATGCAGAAGAAACAGCTAATGCAAAGACCACTATGTTGGAGCGTGTCAGGCTCGTTTTAAGAAATAGCAAGGGAGTCCTGGTGGCTGGAGTGGAATGAGCAAAGAGGATGATAACTAGGAAATGAGGTCAGAAAGGTACTGGAGTGGGGACAGATTCTGTAGGGTAATGGTAAAGACTTGGGCTTTGACTCTGAGAGACATGGAAAGTTACTGGAGGATTTTGAGTTAAGCTAACTTCTTAAAAAGAACACTCTGGCTGCTGTGTTGAATATTAGCCTGTAGAGAAAAAGTGAAGAAGCTGAAAGACCAGTTTGGAAGCTACTGCTGTACCCAGATAAAAGATGATGGTGGCTTGATTCAACGTGGTATCTGTGAAGGTGGTTAGAAGTTGAAAGATTCTGGATATATTTTGAAGGTAGAGCCAAAAGGATTTCCTGACAGATTGTCATGTGTGAGAAAATGAAAGGAATCAATGGAGACTCCAAGTTTTGAACTTAATTATAAGTATAAATAGCTTTTTCATTCTTTTTTACTATTCTACATAAGAATTAAAATATTTTGATTACTAATAGCTCATCCTAAGGCAAAAGTCTTACCCTTGAGCAATTTATAATCAGAATTTGCTTTTGGGACTGAAAACAATGCTCCTTTTAATTTTAATTTTTACCTAATTCAGCACTTTACAATTATGAGGTAAAGCTGTATCATAAAATGTCATTGAACAATTTAAGATTATATAATATTGTTTTCCTTCTCACCTGAAAATATCACTGTTGTTCAACGTGGGGAATATTCTTTGCATTCTAGCTTTTAGAGCATAGGACATGGATATGTCTTGATAAACTATATAATACATTTATGGAGTGCTTTATCATTTCTGACATGCTTTGAAATATCTTTTTGCATCTCATCCTCTCCATAACCCTGGGAGACAGCCAGGCCGGAAATATGTGTAGGAAATTGAAGAATTTAAGTGACTTGAGTAGCCACCATGAGAACCCCTTCTTACATAGGCTCAGCCCACTCTTGTGTGCTTTGAGCTAGTTCCAAATGATGAAAAAAGATGGGGAACTTATTGTGTTCCACGCTCATTCAAAGCTAAGTGGTCCACCCAAGGATCAAATCTATGATCATGTCTTTATTGCCAATGCCTCAGTCAATTGGGCTAACAAATCATTTTACACATCAGACTTAATCACATTTCCAGAATCATCTAGTCATTAGTTCCCCTTTATATTCCTAGCTTTGTATTTTCTCATCTATACCATCTTTCTCATCTTTCTTATTCAGGAAGGTCAACCAGAGCTTTACTGGCCCCTCTACAAAGTACTAAAGCTTGCTTTGCGGATTGCAATCAAAGAATATCAAAAATGAACAACGCCACCATCAGAGTACACATGAAAACGGGGAGAAGAAAGATGCCATTGTAAAGATCAACGAGGTGTGTTAGATGCATGTCTTTTTCTTGTTGAATCCTGAAGCTATCAAAGAACAACTTGCCTTGCTTTCAAGGGTCTTGCGGGAAACCTACATTAGCAATGAATATATTATAACCAACCTCCTAACTTCAATGTCCTCCTCTTTTAACCTTTCACCCAACTGCTGCAAGCACATGGCTAGGGAAATATAATGAGAAAGAATAATAATTATATTGTGCAATGTCTTTTTCTTTAAATTAAGTCATGCGATTAATTTATACCAATCTCTTTTCAGAGGCAGAAAGGAAGTCTGATTTTGGAATTTAAAGATAACCTCAGCATTTTTTACAATCTTGGTCAGTTACGGGGGTAGTGGGGGAAGAGATGCAAAGTCATTTAAGGAAGTAAAAAGATATTTAATTGCTACGGAGGAAGAAATTTTAATAGACGTAGAAAGACTCGTTTGTAAGAAATGGAGACAAATGCAAAATGGCTTAATTAATAAGTAATGCCATTAAAGAGACCGTTCTTCCTAACCACTCACATCTCTGAATCATCTTGGGGTTCCCTGACTTCCTGGTTCTCTCTACCCTCCAGCAGTGACGCCCCTTCTCCCAATCACTGTCAGGGGTTTAAGTGCCATCGTCAGAGAGAAGCTTATTATCTACCTGCTCCCCCAGCTTCTCTATGAGTGACACGCTACCCACGCGTCGCCGCACAGCTCTTCTCCTTCCGCGGCTCCCGGAGGGAAGCCGAGGAGCTGCAGAGGGAGCCCGAGGCTACCCTCGCTCGAACCCCACGACTACGAGCCTTCAAGACCCTCGTCACCCAGTGTGTGCGCGCTTGGTCGCTCTCCCGCCCCCGCCGCGCGCTGCAGGAGTAGGAGCCGGCCCGGCGCAGCGCTTCCAGCTGCGTCTACCTAAGCGCAGCACGCGCTCCCCGCGCTGGCGCGAGAGCGCGAGCGCCAACGCCGCGGGCCGCGGACGGAGCCGCTCCGCCTGCTGCCGCCGCTGCCTCCATCGTCGCCACTAGCGCCCCAGCTGCAGCCCAGGCCGCTCCGCGAGCGCGGGGAGCCCGAGAGGAGCGGCTGGCTCGGGGCGCCAGGCTCCGGGCGCGCACCTGGTAAGCACCGCGCGTTTTTCTTTCTTTCGGCTCTTGGGTCGCCGCGGCAGTAGGAGCCCTCCGGAGCCCCTCCCCCAGCGCAGGGATGGAAAGCAGTCAGGCAAGGGGCGGGAGCTTGGGCGAAGGGACCCGGGGGGGCAGGTGGTGGGCAGGTGGAGAAGTGGTGGAGCCACGGAAGCTACGAGGTCCTGCAAGTTTAGGAAAGTCACCCCACAAGGACGTGTGCTGTGTGAATCAGACATGAATCTCTAGTCGGGAGCCCAGGCTACCGCGGCGTCGCTCCAATGAGAGGTTTATGAATATCATTTTGCTTGTATTTGCATAAGTAAGGAATTTAAGTGGGCTCGTTTCCATAGAAAATGAACTAAAAAAAAAAAATCAGAGGAGAAAAAATAGAGCTCTGAGCCAAAGGGAGCGTTTGGACACCTCTCTTCCTCTCTCTCTCTTTTCTTGCATACTGATACATGTGCACAAAAGGGTGCATTTACCAAAGGAGGAGGGCTTCTCTATTTATGAAGCCATTAGGTGTTGGTGGGAGGCTAATAAGAGCATTTGCTGGTGCTTCACCCTGAAAAGAGACAGCAAAAGAGGGACCTGGTTGGGTGTAAATGCCAATGTTCCATTTCTAAAATGACACTTCCATGACTACACTACCGAGGAGAGGTTTTTGAGAACAGGGGCCATTTTAAGGGGGTACACCTGCAACTCTGCACCTTTAAGCTCAAGTTTATGTACTCCAATTGGGGCTAGGAGGATGGCCTTACCCTAGGTTCCTTTATGGGACTTTGGCAAAGGATGGGGTCAGAGAGAGGGATATGGAGGGAGAGGGAAGAGAAGAGAGCTAAATATGACTGAATGGGCTGTGTAAGGTGGTAGAAAGAGCAGGAGCCTGGAAGTCAGGTTTGGCATAAATGTGTTCGTTTAGTATCACCCTGGGTAGTCTCTGGGCTGTCTCTAGGAAAGTGTGTGACCTTGAACAAGTCCCTTAACCTCTGTATACTGTGTTTCTCCATCTGCAAAATGTAGAGGCTCTTCTGTGTTTTGGGTCACTAAGGTCCCATGCAGTAGCAGTGTCTATGATTTTATGGGTTTGAGGATCCGCCTACAAGGAAGGAAGAGTGCCCAGAAAATCTGGATAAAGGAAGCTTCAAGGTATTTTCCCTCAAAATATCAAAGGCATTTGCAAGCTCTTGGCTTTGCTGTTGGTGTAATGTGTGCTAAGAGGTCTGTAGAAATGGGTGAGAAGGACAGTCAGACACCTAGCTTGTAGCCTGGAGTCCTGGAGTCCTGAGTGCTGTCTGGAGAGGTTTGGATCCACAGAGTCTAAAGTCACATGCTTTTTTAAAGGTAGCAATTAAAGAAGGGGGTTTGGTGGCAAGCTGTGATGTTCTTTGAATGAGGGTTTGGTAAAGAATCTGGAATTGATTCTAGCACAAGGAAAATGAATGGCATCGTACTTTAAAGGTTGGGCACTCAGGATGGCAGGACAACTAAGGGTGATATTTGAGAATACTGTAATCTGGACAGAAGGGTTAGGAGAGAGAAGGAAACATATTCTTCCTGAGACAAGGGTTCCTAGACTCCTAGGAGGCTACTGGCATCTGCCCAGTGTCCTTGACACCTCTGCCACTTGTCTGAAGGAGGCACAGGTACACATTCCCCCTCAATACAAGCTCATTCTTAGAATTTACGGATCTGAATCCCAGCCATTGAGATGAGAAAGTTCACATGGGAAAACTCAAGTCCGAGGGGATGTCCCCCAACCCTCCCACCATGTGAGCATCTGGCTGTGAAGCTGGCTTACCCATCCAGATTCGACCCGAAGTCTGTGTTCCTAAAGGAGCTCACTGTGCCACTTGGTGGCACCAAAAAGTTGCGCTGAGAACTCTGTTCTCTATAAATACAAACTACCACCCCTCCCTCCTCCGCGCTCTCCCCTTCCCCCCCTTCTCCCCTTTCTCAGTAGCAGGGAGAATTGCTGCACACGCCGCCCTCAGCTCTGCTGTTCTGCGCGCACGGAGCGCAGGCGATGAGCTTAAGATCATCTCGCGCGGGGGGGAGCCCGGGACTGGAGAGGCCGGCTCTGCCCCGCTGATCCGCGCGGCCCAACTTTATGGGGGGCTAGCTAGACCGCGCCTCACTGCCTGCTGCGCCGCCAACAGGGGGGTAAGCTTGCTAAGTGCCTGTTTACCCAAGTGTCCTCGGGCCCGGGAAGAATGTATGAGCTATACGCTTGCTGGGAGCTTACAGTTTGGTTTGGGGGAGGGGGACGAGGGTGGAGCAGCGGGGGTGGCCAGAACCTCAAGGATGAAGTCCGCTCGATTCGCGGATGGCTTCAGTTAAACCTGCTGGGGAGAAAGGGCGAGAGCAATGGGGTAAATGAGGGAATGGCCGCAAGGGTTGAGAAGGGGATTCTGCATGCCTTCGGATGCGAGTTCCCGCTCCCTGAGGGCCAGGTGCGTGCTTTTAGAATTCAGACTGGGCTCCTCCAAACCACCCGAGGGCTCAGAATTCAGAGAAGCGAGGGTGGAGAGGAAGAGGAAGGAATCGCTTCCCAGTAGATCGGTTAGCTGCGGTGACCAGGCTACTGCTGCGGGAAGAGGGGGGACAGCGGGTGGTGCTGAAAGCACAGCGCTTTCACTCAGGCTAGCGTGCTTCTTTCTGAACCCCGGTCTGCGCCCTCCCGCTCTTTCGTCTCCCGTGGATGTAGCTTTCCCTTCGGACACAAAGCCTACTAGTTACCCCGGAGTGGCAGCATGAGAGGCATGCCAAGGAGAGAGCCCTGGCTACAGCCACTTGGGGAAAGAACCCGCGGCAGCCCCACGAGCTAGCCGGGTGACCAGAGCCTACCCTGCACTTGGGACTTCGAAGAGGGAAGTGAGGAATCTGCCTGGGGGGCTCTGGAACTGGTGCTGGATTTCCAACTGCCCGCACTTCCCTCCGGAGCGGGCGCTGTGGGAAAGGGAAATTGAGGAGAGGTTAACAAGTGCCTGTGCTTATTCAGGTACTATCTTGGTGCTGCCTCAGCTGAATCGAAAGCTTGAGTGGCCAAGCAGGTAGATTCTCCCACACTTTACTTTCCGCTAAGAAGCTGACACAGGTCAGTGGGAAGGCAGTGGCTTCCTTCCACTTTCTTCATTCTCTACATATTGTTTCATTGTTCTACGTCCCTTGAGACTGATGTAGAGCTCATCTGTATCCTTCACGCTAACTGCTGGCCTTTTGAGGCAGCCAGGGAAGCACTGCCTTGTGCTATGTGCAGCCCCCCACCCTAGCTGCCGTGGGGCGAAGCTTAGGTTTTCTGTAGAATCCTCTTAGTTATACAACATTCTAGACATCCTTTTGAGTTTTGGAGTGTTCAGGTATGCTACCTCTTGTTAGGTGTGCTTTGTGATCCTTATTCCTCTCATGGAGCACAGGACATATCCTCCTTTAATTTCTCTCTTATATCCATGCAGTTACACATTTAAGAATCAGTTGTGACTATTTTTGTCCTTTATGGATGTCAATTTCTGTTTAAAAGGATCTTTGGTTGGGACTTGAAAATACTGCTTTGTGAACTCATCAGGTTAATGCACAACCCAGCCTCCAGCCTTCTCCACTGGAAACCTTTTCAGCACTCCGGACAGATCCTACAAGGTTTGGGTTTTTTTGTTTGTTTTTGAAGAATGTGAATAGAATATAGTACTTTCTACATAATTGCTTTACTGCTTCTTTAAGAGAAAAGCTTTCCCTGGTCATTTAGAATCTGCTTGACAAAATATATAATTTAGGTATTTTCACTGCACCCCCTAGATCTTTGCTATCCCATGGTAATATTTTTGCTGTAGGCTACATTCAAAAACAAACCAAACTCTTGTTTGTTTGTTTGTTTTTTTGTCCTTGAACTTTTTATTCAACATTGTACTGGAAGTCTATGATGGACAGATTCCAAGGTAGTTTCCACGGTCACCACCTCCTAATATCCTTGCCCTCGCATTATCCCCTTCCCCTTCAGTGTGCACAGGACCTGTGATTCGCTTTTATTTTTATTTTTTTTTGCATTTTATTTTTTAATACAGCAGCTTCTTATTAGTTATCTATTTTATACACATTAGTGTATATATGTCAATCCCAATCTCCCAATTCATCCAAGAAACCAAACTGTTTAATGTTCATTTATTAAAGGGCGTATTGAGATTATTTGGAGGAGAGGAGTGGTATTTGAATATTCAATTACTTGCCCAGTTCTTCACTTTACTTTCATAGGTAGACATAAGCCTCTGCCATCACATCATGGTACACATTATGGACATGATGACAAATGCCAAGGTGAAAGCTGAAAAATTCACTCATAGGTAGTATGGCCAACCAGTACAAAGTATACAGACTTTGAGAATATTTAAGTAGCTACATAATATCTTCAGGTTATACTCTGCTTGTTGACATTGTTTTGTTCCCTATTCAATAATTTATCTCATTAAACATGTTTACTTTCATGACTAAAAGATTTTACTAATTCTAAGTTTTTTTTACATTTCTTCAAAACACGTTGAAGATTTTATAGGAGTCGTATTACATTGTCTCTTATGGAATTGTCAGAGCATTTTATATAGAAAAACTAAATTAAGTGCCAATGAAACGTAGGTGAAATTACAGGTAGAAAAAATATGAGATAAAGTTAATCGTGAAAAATATTGCACTTATTTGTGTACCATTTTCTCCCAGGATTTCTATCCTCATGAGATGAAGAGACACATCCAACTATTCCTCCTTATACTTTTTGCTGTTATTTTGGTAGATGGAGTTTAAACTAACTTCATAAAATAGTGAAGACTACCTTTTGATATATGTTGGTATATGCTAAAGCTGATCAGTTTGGCATTTGGATAAACTGAAGGTGTATTACTACAAAGCAGGAACATTCTACAATTGAGAAATATGTGTTATTTTTAATATTCACAGAAATGTTAATCCTAGACCCGAGGCATCATTTAGTCATCACTTTCATTGCGTGGAGTTTGGAGAATATAAGAATATAGGAGCCTCAAAAGAAATGTTTTTTAGTTTATGATGTGCTTATATAACCCAGGAAAATTTAAATTTTGAGTTTGCATTTCAACTATCTGTAACTGAGAAAATATTTTCTTGATATTCCTTTCTCTCAGTTGGTTAAAACGTAGTTCTAAAAAACATTATGCCATAAGCTTGCTTCCATTTTCTTTAAATTCTCAAACAAGAGAAAAAATATCGAGATTTTATCAGTTCTAATCTCATTTGAATTGTATGTACCTTTAGTCGTGTATGTACCTTTGCTTGGGAAACAAGGAAAGGTCTTGGTGCAGGCTCATCTCTGCTCTAATAACTATCATTTATTGAGCACATCAGGCACCGTGCCAAGCATTATATATCTTATTTAATACTCATAACAATCATACAGGGCAGTGATTTTTCTGTTGTTAAAATTGAGGGTTGTTTCCTTCCACTGTCATGTAACAGGGAAATGGAAAAATAAAATTATATGTATATATAATTTTATACACATACACACGTGTGTGTGTGTGTGTGTGTATACACACACACACACATATGTCTGATTTGTTTGGAACTCAGACTTATCCTTTTTCCATTGTATTAGATAACTTTTCCATTTTATTAGATAAACACCATGGAATTGTCTCATTGTGGTTTCCAGTGACTTGTGATATGGTTGGGAGTACAGACCCTTGCACAAGATTGCCTGAGTTTGAATCCCAGCTTTGTGGCTCATTAGCTATGTAACCTTGGGCAAGTTACTTAACATTGCTCTGCCTCTCTTCCTCATTTTTAAAATGGAGAACAGGCTGTAACGCTATTAGCCTCACTGAGTGATTATGGTGAATTAGTTACACAAATATAAGTCAAGTGCCAGACCCAGAGTGAAAAGTACAGAACCGGTCGTTATGACTATTAATCCCATCTAGGCCTTTGAATATCAGATGTTTCCTAGGTTTCCTATGTTATTGAGTTTAATCTTCTCAACAACCATATGGTTGATACATAATTGCTGTTTCAAATAGCTTCTTTTATTTTAGTCAAACTATTCAGGAAATTTAAAGGAAAAAGTTTGATGCAAGAAAATGTATTTTATGTTGATGTGATTCTGTTGGTCTTATAAAGACCTAAGAATAATTCCCTAATGATTATTTTTTACAACTCTAGGTATAGGCCACTGACTTTAAACTTCTGAGCATGAATGTTCTGAGGAGAATTAAAAGTTCGTAGTCATAATGGCACTAATGGGCCCTGTAATAATAATGCAGCCTGTTGCATCATAATTTTGCAGAAGAATAATTTTAAAATATTAAAAATCAATTTGTTTTCACACAAAGTATTACACAATACAGGTAATGTAGTAGAATCCTTTAAAGACCCAGAAGAAAGGTAAATAATATATTACGTTTTTAAAAATAAAAATAAGATTTTGAAAAACCAATGGGAAAATGACTATATAAAGTTATTATTCTTTATCTTTAAAAAATTATAATGAACTTTGTATTTCACATAGCCTTTGAAATGGTGACAGGTACCATAGGATACTCTTCTCACATTTATTTTTTGTAATTTGTGACTATTCAGAACTATGCTTAGTTAATGTAAAGGCAATGTCTTCTTTGACTCTGACAGTTTAATCTGTATTTCTCAAGTTGAAATTCCAAGCTCCAAAACAAGATGATGCAGCCGGAAACAAGTGGCAATGTAAAGAAGGAGTAAGGCAAATCTACTTGCCTACTACTCTCCAAACTACTCTCCTTAGAATTATTAGGACATTTCAGAAAAATGCTTTGTGGGACGGACACATCCAGATGACTCTTAGTCATCTTCTTTTTTGATGATTACATAGACCTTGACAAGGATGAGTTTTAAGTAAATCAGCAGTTTTCAATTGGGAATGACTTTGACCTGCAAGGAACATTTGACAGTGTCTGGGGACATTTTTATTCATCACAACTAGAGGAGGTGTGTGCTGTTGGCATCTGCAGATCAGGGATGCTGCTAAACATCCTGCAATGCACAAGATGGCAGCCCCCCAAAACCAAAAATTTGTCTGGTCCAAAATATCAACAGGTCTAAGCTTGAGAAGCCCTGATCTAAATGATTCCATGGGACAGAGTTACCTATATTTATTTGGTTGGTTTGTACAGCTTCTGAATGAAGCTGATTGACATTACATAAGAATTTAGTGGAAAGCAGAGTCTCCAGAATGTTTTGCAGCCAGTGCATAAGGTTTAACTAACCAACCCATTTGGTCGGATGGGAAACAGTATCATCTGATTATGTTGAGTGTGAGCTTTGGAGCTGGAGAGAAATTGGATTCATGTCCTGACTCTGCCATTTATTATATGTATGAGACTTCTGGCAAGATTCTTCACCTCTAAACCTCAATTTCGAGAGATATTTACTGTAGGTAGCAATCATACCTACCCCTCAGGGTTGTTGTGAAACTTACATTAAATTATGCTTATATATTACTTAGCACGAAGTAGGCACTCAATAAGTATCAGCTATTAATAAGTAACTAGAGATTGAGTTAAAAATGCAAAACCACATTTTCAAGTGCCTGATGATAGGCAATATAATATGCACCATAATGCCTTACAGTCTTGAGAGGTGTGCCATAAATAAAAAGAAAGCAGCTGAAGGCTGCAAAATGGGAAGAAATTTAGAATCCCTGCATGATAATTAAATTGAGACTAGTTAACGGTGGATTACATCATTTTTATTGCTTTGCTGTAGAAGGCTGTTTTAGGTCTTCATGGACTACTAAACCAATCGTGTAATGATTTACAATGATTTAGTGAGCTTTATTCTACTGCCAGCACCTTTTAATTAACGCACAAAATTACAGACTTCACTTTTGTACAATGTTATTTTATGGCCCCTTTTTGCTTTAAGGGGGTTTCAGTTAAAATATGGCATATTTTTTGTCCTGGGCTAAATGGAGGGGGTGCTGGACTTTCTTGTTTACAGGGTCACAGATGTGTGCTTGAGATAGATACAACAGTGGAGCTTTCCTCGGACTATAACGCTCTCGGTATCATTATACCTCAGAGTGTCTCTTATCTTTCGGATGCACTGGTTTTCAGGAAAATGTGTCAGAGCCATCCATGGTATATGCAACATTGACACCCCTATATGTGACGAGGCTGTTGCTCAGGCAGAAGGAATCATTTTAGTGTTGATGTCCTGAGCTGTATGATTTGCTTGTGTGGGGATTAAGTTATGTAAGAGAAATTTGTGCCAGAAAGATGGTCAGTGTTTGAGAAGATTGTTGAAAATAAAAGACAATGCAAGCTGTGAATCTGATTACTATGTAAGTTGTCATTTATGGTAAATTCTACCCACCAATACTTCTTCTTCCTATTCATTTAGGATCCAGTATGGGACTGTATGATTACCTGAGGCCCAGTACTTTCATGCATATTAGATATATATTATTTTTTTATAATGGGGTAGTGATTAATTTTATTATGCTATGAACCCAAAGTATATGATATAGAACATTGAATAAAGTAGCCTAGTGCTTCTGAAAATAGGACCCTAAATCAAAATACCATATAAGTTATACTATTTATATAAACTCCTATCATTTACTACTTTTGATTGAATTAAAGTACTCC